CGGGGCAGTGGTTCAAATCTACCAGCCTACTCCAGAGGGGAAAGATAGGCAATCTTCTCCCGTGTAATTTACAGTCTCTGAAAATCCATTAGAGGGTCAGGTCTGAGTTGGATCCAAACCAATGGCAATGAGTGAGAACCTGTTAATTTGCAAATATATCTACAGAGACAAGCAACTAAAGTTGTCCACAGAGAATTTGGTTAGCAAACAGTACAAGTCATACAGTGCTATTTCTCTTCATCATTTGCAGGAAGTAGAGAAGATCTTTTATCTACACTTAGCTGGCTGATAATCTCGTGATGAAAGACCCCCTAAGGAGTTCAAGCTAAAAAATATAATTTAAAAAAAACAGTTACTAAGATATTTACTTATACAACAAAAAAATACGTTAGAAGTTACTGATCTACCAGTTAGGTTAATCATCAATGCAGAAAGACAAGTATGTGAAGCATTTTTGTCCCCTCTAAAGCTTTAAAGTCTTGATAACAAGCAAATATTTGTCACTGTCAATGCCATCTACTGACCAAATTAGAACTCTATACGCTATATACTAGAAACAAAATAGGCTTCAATTATACCTGTACCTTCACATGGTACCTCTTTATATCAGCAGTTACTTAATAAATATAAGTCTATTAACTAAGTGAAGTCTTCTCCATCACAAATTTGCCTACGACACATCATCATAGTATTATACTCACTGGGGTTTTTTTTCCCTTTTAAACTCTTTCACTTTGACCAAAGTTTTAAAATTCTCAACAGTCCTCACTGTTAGTCCTTCCATTTTATTGACTTCAGAACCCTAGCATAGCTAATAATTGCAGTGGTCTGAGATGAGAAGCTGTTTTCTAAGCTGTTCTGAAAGTTTCATTAATATTCTTTTTCTCCCGTAGGGAGGGAAAAAGTCTCTGCATTAATTACCCCCATCTCATTTGTTCATCACGTTGGTTAAAGAACTCAAGTTCTGACATCCATCCCTTTTCCTTCAATCACCAAATTGGTGAAAGATTTTCAGTTCTGGAGTTGACTTGAGAAATCAGCTTTGCTGCCTCCTTAGGAGCAAGGAAAGGACCTGCTGGCTCATGTTTGTTGAATAGATGGATGGACCTTGAACTCACCTGTCCATTCCTCTCTCCCACTTTGCCCTATTTCATCAGCAGGGTAACTACAGCCCAGGAAGTTCCCATGACTTATCTTAATGAACACAGCTGCATAGTGAAAACCTAGGTGAAGAACTCAGATAGACCTTCAGATCTCACACCAATAGTTTTGTTTCACTTCCATTCTCCGAAATGTCAGAATTCAGCAATGGTCTCTTGACTACTCTGAGTTCAGCAGAAGTAATGTTGTCTGGAATGGCTTAAGTGGGTGTCCTCCTCTCTGAATGCTTACAACCCAAAGGCTCTCCAAGTCAGTGATTTTGTCTCCCTGATTGAGCCTGACATCATGGTGAGAGTCCTGGGAACCCTCACTTCAACCAATACTCATTATGCACACCTACACACATGTGGATTCATGCAAAGCAAGTTAAACAGGCTGGGGGAGCATATAAACAAATTACAGAAGCGCAGGGTTAGCTGAGACCTAGAAAGAGTCTCGTCTAACCTCCCATTTGTCTAGCGCTTGGATCTTCCCAAAACATTCCTACAAAATAGTTACTCATTCTCTGCTTGAACAACTCCCACCAGACAGGCTACAAAGCCAGTCCGATCTCGAGGCAGCTGTAACTATAAATGTCAAAGAACAAGAAGCAATTAACTAAAGCCTACAAAATAGGCACTATCTTCTCAGAGGTTTGAGAATTGAATCAAAATGAGGAAACAATCAGGTGTTAATCAAGAAAAGTCTGTTATTGCAACTTTACCTGGCATTTTCAATTAGGTATTCGAATCCAACCATTGATGCTCAGTAAATACCGCACAATTAGATGGAACAAAAGTGCAGCCATAGTAAAACCATGGTACTCAGTTTAAGATTATTGTTCCCAAGAAGTTTCTCAGTTACTTTTTAATAAATTCTTTAGTAAGAACCACCTAAACAATCCCACTGGGTCTTATTTCCCATACTACTTCACTTTACTGTCTACCTTCAAAGATTTAGTGAGGGCTATGTGCTTTTTACAGCAGGCAAAGTATTTATACTCTATTAGATGAGCAAGGTATTTGTACTCTGTCCACTTGTAAAGGCTCTTCAAGACTCTGTATCTGGAAGGTAATATAACAAGTAGTCTCCAATGACAAAGGAGGCAAGGCTCAAGTACAGGAAGCTTGTAGTCAAACTTTTCACTTAAAAGTACTACTTGAGAGGCAATATCTTATGAGAAAACACTCCTTTTATTTAAGGGTAATCCTTGTCACCTCTAAGTATCACAGAATTATACCAAAACCAGCAAATGAATCACCAAACCAGGTCTCTTTATTACTGGGTGTGCAGTGGCATTACCCAGCTGAGGAAAGGGAGACAGGTCTCTGGACTCCATCCAAGGGCATCCAGTGAGTCACTGACAGGTTGGGGGAGAGACACTGTGAATCAAAGCTCCCTCTTCTGGGAGCAAAGCCTCAGCCCCACCTTGGGTAAACTTTAACTTAACCAAAATAAAAAGAGGAACTTGATCTGGTGAACCATAGGGGAACTTTCAAAACTCCTCAAAACTTATCAAGAAGAAATCTCCAAAGTATACACGGGTTAGGTATGGGTGGTGGGAGGAAGAGGAATGTTCTTCCTCAATAGCTTAAAAAAATATATGATGGAACTCTTTCAATATACTCTTGGTGGGATTGTAAAATGGTACAACCACTCTGGAAGGAAGTTTGGCGTTTCCTTAAAAAGCTGAAACATAGAAATTCCATATGACCGAGACATTCTACTGCTAGGAACAGACGCCAAGAAAAATAGAACTGAGACACTAGTGGATATTTGTATACCTAAGTTCATAGCAGCGTCATTCATAATAGCAAGAACATGGAAACAGCTCAAACGTCCCTCAACAAACGAATGGATTGAGAAATTGTGGTACATTCACACAGTGGAATACTATGTGGCAATCAGGGTTGACAATTTTGAAAAACACTATATAATATGGGAAAGACTAGAGAGCATCATACTAAGTGAATGGACTCAATCTCATAAGGACAAGTACTGCATAAGACCATTATTGTAAGACTAGGATAATCAGTAGAATGTGGATAAAAGTCTAAGAGGAGAAAGGAAGGCACAGGGGGCTAAGGATGGAGATTGGGGAAATGATGGGAGTTTGGTGGACAGAGGGAGGAGGTAAAGGAATTGGGATGGATCTAGTAGGGTCCTGAAAAGACAGGGGATGGTGGGCACAGTTCAAAGGGGATTAATTTTATAAAATACAGTGTATGGGAATGTCTGTATGAAACGTGATGTGAATGAAAGAATGTGTAAAACACACAAAAAATGATTATTCTGAAAAAAATGAAAAGAAAGCATTTTAACACGTTATCATGCACATACAGCATAAATTTTAATCCACAGAGTCATTAAAGAAGTTAAAGGAAAACCTATCTCAGCATGTTGAAAGCAAACCATTTTGATCAAAGGAATAGAATCGACGAATAGATTGCTGTGTGATTCCTTTGGACCTCTATATGGATCAATCCTTTAAACACAGTGACCCAAATGTGTCTGTCACCTTCGGTACTAACCATTGTGAAATCCCATGATTGTTCATGGTAGCAAAGCAAATAGAGCATAGGAAACAAGTAAGCAGTGCATACTTTCTAAAATTATACGTATGATTTTGGTTGACAAAGTCCTAACATGGGAACTTGGAGAAGCTGGGATGACCACACTCAAGACCTCACATCCACAGCACCTGCATTCCACAGGTGTTCAGACAGAATCAGAACATGTATTTTACAACTCCAAACAACGTGGTGTTTTACAAAACCACACATGTGTTATTAAAAGGTGCTTCTCAGTAGGCGGTGGACAAAAACCACTGAAGTAAACTTGAGGACTGCAATGCAGTTTCACCTTGTAGGACAGTTGAATCGTTCACGTCATCCTGGCACACACAGAAGGCTGTGAGGATGCCAGGGGCAGGAGAGCGCATTGCTTGTTTATAAAGGAACGGCTAAGGAAACTTTTCAAGTTAGTTGAAGAGCAGAGTTAAAAGAGATAGGCACTGCTAAAGAACTGAAGTAATTTCCCAAGATACTCCCAACTACAAGTCACCATTACCTAATTAAGTGGGAATTTAATGACTTCTTGTCATGGCACTTAAAAAAAGGAGGAGAGAAAGAGGGAGGGGAGGAGACAGGGAGGGAGAGAGGGAGCGAGAGAGAGGGAATTCCTCTGATTTTTTAACATACCAACTTTAGAAACACGTTGCTCTACATAAACTCCACAAAAGTGAGAGCAGAACAAGCCACAGAGAAGTCCCTTCATAAGGGATCCAAACTTGAAGCCGCTTTCCTTTGCCTTCACTCCCTTCCTCCTCCAGCTGACCTCTGCACTCATCACCTGTGTCTATTTGGACATAAATTTCCTCAGCACCTTCACTCATCCTTTCCCATTATCATTGGGCGAGTATTCAGAATCTTTCTTTCTTGTCATACTTTTCCAACTGCTACCAATCATTTCTTTCTAAAACAACACGCTACGGGAACATCCTTGTTAAATTTGAGCCCTTAGCACCTTATCACTTTACACACAACATTGGATTGTTCCGGTTGGGAGTTTAAAATGGAGTTTGGCGCTCACCTCACTCTTTCTGACCCTAAACAGAGACAGCGGAGAGCACTGAGTTAAGAGACACAACAGAGAGAACAGTGTGGCCAGGTGAGTTAGAGACAGAAGTAGAGTTTTGGCTCCCGGACTCAGGGAGTCCGAGCTAAGATCCTTTCCATTTTTGCACAAGGAAGGCAGTCACCTGTTCAAATAATGACTGTTAATCAAATAAGCACTCAAGAGAATCATTTGATGGCCACTACTATTTCGTTTGGGACTCTAAGGCCGGGGGAGGCACTTACCTGGCAGGTTCAACAAGGAGTCGAAGACTTTGCATTGGATCTGCCCGGTGCTCTGCGACACGCAGGACATCCACAGCCCCTCGTACATGGCTTGAGCGGTCACGATGTTGTCGCCGGCATAGGAGTAGATCTTCCACTGGGGCATGGCGATGCTGACGATGGCGCCGATCCAGCCCAGGAAGGCCAGGATGAAGCCCAGCAGCTGCAACCCCGCGTTGGCCATGGCTCGCTTGGCGCGCGCGCTGGCTCGGAGGAGGCGGAGGACGAGGCGGAGGACGAGGCTGAGGGTCTGCAGGTGCGCGCCCGGGCGGCGAGAGGGGGAGTGGCGGAGCCGCGCTCTGGAGCAGGCGCAACCGAGAGCCCTGCGGTCCGCACCGCCGCTGGCGAGGAGCCGGGTCTGGGTCGGGCTCGGGCGCAGTGAGGATGCTCCTGCTCTCAGACTGCGGGACTGCGGCGGCCGACTGCGGGCACCGCGATTTAAAGCAGCTCCGCCCACAGCTGGCCCGGCCACCGCGCGCGCCCCCTGGTGGTTTTGGGGTGGCTCGGGGGAGGGAGAAACCAGTGCGCTCTGGGCGGAATCTCCTGCTCTCCCTGTGGGGACTTGTGGGGGTGGGAGGTGAAAAGCCTCTCTCCTCGCTCTCTGCCTGCCTTTTCTTTCCTATTGCCATGCTTCTTGAACCTTTCACTCATTTATTCACTCACTGACACACTCATTCATTCATTTCACATTTGTCAGAAATATACTCCTGTAATCTCTTAAAAAGCGTGTTGTTCTTGTTATGTGCCCTTGAGAAGCTTGCGACTCATAGCGACCCTTCACCTGCTCTATCCTGAGCAAACTTCATCGTCTTTGACACTCCTACCCCCATTACCCCGGTCATTGAATCAATCCATCTCATTGAGGGTTTTCCTCTCTTGGGCTGTCTCTCCACCCTCCCAAGCATGATGTCCCTCGCCAAGGACAGGTCCCTCTTGGAACATGCCATAAGTATGTCCACAAGAGTATCACATTTTAAAATTGTTCAGTATCTTACTCAAATATATCTTCTGGCTAACTGCCCTGCCTCCCCTCTTCACAATCCTCTCTCCTTTCCTCAGTTTCTTCTCTCTTCTTTGCTCCCTCTGTCCTCATTCTCTTCTTTCCTTTAAAGTTTCTGCTAAAATGGTAACTTTCTGCAAAACTCATAAAAATGTGTTTGTTTTTTTTATTTTATAGAGTAGGAAAAAAATAAAACCAATATTCCCACACACAGAGAGCCTCACAGTAAATTAAGAGCATATTCAGGACCTAATCCCAGGTCCTCTGTATTCCAGTACAAATTGACTAAAAATATGTCCTTTAATCTCTTAGTATCCTTATGAGAAAGAACAGTTACATACACACACACACACAGAGACCCACAGAGACAGAGCTTATTTATCCAAAACTGCATGGGGATTTTATAAGTGACATCCACCCCAAAGGTGATCTTATTCATAAATTAGCAGATTGTTGTGTTGTTAGGTGCTGTCGAATCACTTGCAACTCAGAGCAACCCTATGAATAACAGCTCTGAACCCTGCTCTATCTTGAGCCAACATCATTGACTCTGACCCCATTACCCCAGTCACTGAGTCAATCCATTTCATCCTGGATCTTTGAATTATCAGATTGATAAAAAGTGAGATACTTAAAAATCCTTTCCCCTGGTACAGTGAAGACTGAACTAGGATTTAGGAAGTCCAGGTTCTGCTTTGACTGTCCCAGTGTCTCACTCGGCCTCTGCCTCATGATTACGTCTAACAGAGCCTTGGGTTTTCCTGTGTGGTATCTGAAGCTTCCCTCTTCTACAGTTACTCAGAAGTGGTGTTGTGGTTGGAAATAATTGAAACATTATCACCAGTGTTTTCTGTATGTGGTGTGAACAATGGTGAGAGATAGAATGTCTATGGCTTTAATTAAAACAGCAAATATTAAACAGTTGAAAGAGAAAACAAGTTCCCAAGAGCTCCTGTTGGAGTTGCAGTTTGTGACAAAGCTGAAAATGGGGGAAAAAGGGGGAGAAAAGGAATGTGACTAAGCTAAATTGAAGAAAACAAAACAAAACTCAAAATCCAAACCTCTAAGACCCTCAGTATCATTTGACTTTCTTTAGATAACATTGTCATTGTTATGAACCTAAACTGACTCAGAGCTGATTCTCCAGGGGGTTTTCAGAGGCAGTAAATAATGAGTGAGGTGATTGCCCATCTTTCTTCTCAAGAGTAGCTGGTGGATTCAAACCATCTGCTTTTGGGTTGGCAGTGAAAATCCTCACCACTAGGTTGCCTGAGCTCCTTACATTACTGAATACTTTAAAGTCTAAGAAGTAGTTTGTGCAGAGAGATGGGTCACACAGGATTTGGTTGGTAAGACTTAATTTGCTGTGTGGGCCTTTTTCCTGCCAAATTTAAACAATGAGATGGTCCTTTTCCGATGTTGTTAAACTCTGCAGGACAAAACACATCTGTGGTGTGTCCTCCAGCTCAGTTCTATGATGGATAGTTCTTTGTAGTGTTCTGTGTGCATCTGTGAGACTGGATGAAGTGCATTCGCGTCTATGGTTGTTAGGTGCCATGAAATCAACTATGTCTTGTAGCGAGTCCCTGAATTCACTTTCATTATTTACCTATGTTTCTTAGGAGAGGCTATTCCTTGGAAAAGGACATCTTGCTTGGAAAGGTGGAGAGTCAGGGAAAGAGAGGAAGACCTTTGTCAAGATGGATTGACGTGGTGACTGCAGACATGGGCTCAAGTGTATCAGAGATGGTGAGGATGGCGCAGGATAAGACAGGATACTGTGGTTCATAGGGTTGCTAGGGGTCATACTTGACTTTACAGAACCTAACAACAACAAATTAGCACAGAATTTGCTGGTGAGGCCAGGCCAGTTCCATATGCATTATATAATGTGATCTTTTTATTCCAATCAAATCAGAATTGATGTTATTTTAAAAGGTGCTTTTGTTGTTATTGCTGTTCAGATTGAAGTAATTAAAATAAGATTTGAGTTTACTTACCATACTTGTGTACAGGTTATTTTAATCTGTATTAAGTCCTGTTATCACTTGTTATGCCTAAGAGAGTTAGACAATGACTAGGGAGGATAGAAGGAGAATTGACGCCTTTGAGCTGTGGTGCTGGAGAAGAGTATTGAATGTACTATGGACTGCCAAGAAAACAAACAGATTCATCGTAGAGAGGATTAAACCAGGCTGCTCCTTGGAGGCAAGGATTCTGGGACTCCGTCTGACATACTTTGGACATGTTGTAAGGAGAGACAGGTCTTTGGAGAGGGACATCATGCTGGGTAGAGTGGAGGGACAGCGCAGGAGGGGAAGACCCTCTATGAGGTGGATTGATTCAGTGACTGGGGTACTCGGGATGGGTTTGTTAGGGGCAATGAGATTGGCACAGGATAGAGCACAGTTTAGGGCTGTTGTACATAGGGTCCCTATGAGTCGCAAACGACTCGATGGCACATAACAACAACAACAACAACAACATTAAGTCCTGTTTCCATCACAACACACTGTTACTCATTCTCCTTTGGAGGCAGAGAGATGAATTCTGTGGTCAGTACAGCCCTGTGTTTTTTGTTTTGTTTTGGGTTTTTGTCATTCCAGATCTGAGTGAGGTTGATTACCTCATTGCCCACAGCCTTGTTTGTGAGGCTCAGTTGGAGGCTGGTTGTTTCACTGTGATATGTGACCACCCCCTAATCCGGTCTTGTTTTCTATCCTCAGTCTCAGAGCAGAGCAGAGGTGAGAGAATGACTCAGTGTAAATCCATCCCCTCAAGAAGAATAAAAGCTAAAAACACACTCAACCTTCAAGTGTAAAACAAAAAGGTAAAAGCAATATTGTACCTAAGCAGTTTCCAGAAAGGCTGTGGTCTGACTCCCTGAATTGGAAATGTGCTATGAATCCTCAAATGGTTTCAGTTTTTTCATTTTTCTCATTTATAAAAGTGATGATTATTAAAGCCAACCAGCTCTAAATGTTTAGGCATCGGTGTAATAATAATTAGTGTTACCAAGGGCCTTTATTTGAATTCTCTCCCATGAGGAAGTGACAGACACATAATGAAATCAAACCATTCACTCAGGTTGTATTTGACAAATGTCAGCACTGGGAGTCCAGCCTGCCTTGCTCAACCTTGGACCCCAAGCCTCCAAACAGTAATCCTGCAATGTCTCCCTTTGTGAGCCAAATTAATTGACTCTTGGAAGTCCACATTTGTTTACAGCTCCAAGAATGCTACCATATTCTACTCTTTATCTGTTCTCTCTACTTCTACTTGTCTCTTCTCAATTTGGGTAGCTATTCCCTGAGACTGTACATCTAAGGGTCTAGAATCCTGTGGTTGGAAAGTATTCCTGATGAAGTGGAAAGGATGGCTGGAAAACACATACAGTCAACTGATTGATGCCATATCTGTCCATATGGAATTGCTTCTAGGCTTAGACTTTCCAGGAACCGATAGTAGGGAGAAAAAATTCACACAGGGATTGTCGTAAAGGTGGGACTAAGAGTGGCAGAAAAGAATGTAGTGGAAGAATCAAATTCACAAAAGGAAGAATGGCAAAGTCTCAGTGGCTAAATGTAACAGAAATCCTTGGGGAGGCAAATATCTCACTGACTGAAGAGATATGTTAATATGTGCTTTTCAAGGTTTCCTGAAAGGCAAAACCAGGTTGGATTGATACTAAACAATAATACTAAACAATGCAGTACTAAATAAACAACATAATAATGAGTTGCACCTGATCCAGGCCATGGTCTTTGCAATTACTTCCTATACATCAGAGAGCCAGACAGTAACTAAGGTCAGAAGAAGAATTGAGTTGTAGTGCTGAAGAAGAGTCTTGAACATACCATTAGAATGCCAAGAGAACAGTTCTGTCTTAGAGAAAGTGAAATCAAATCGCTCAGTGGGAGCTAGGAGTTTGAAATATACTTTGGGCATGTGACCAGGAAGGACCCATAATTGGAGAAGGACATCATGCTTGGAAGGGTGGAGGGACAGCACAGGAGAGAAAGACGCTGGATGAGAAGGATTGATACAGTAACTGGGGCAATAAGGGTAGGTGTGTCGGGTTCAGTGAGACTGGCTCAGGACAGGGCAGAATTCAAATCTGCTGTACATAGGGTCACTATGGGTCACAGGAGACTCAATGGCACATAACAGCAACAACAATGACA